ATTACTTTTTTCAAGTTGTATTCCATATTTTCACAGCAAGGACATCGGAGTGCAAAATGTCCTACATGGTGTACACTTGACGGGGATGAGCTTTGAATTACTCATCTGACTTCAGATTTTGTTTCCTTCAAAACATGTATGTATTCTTCAAAAAAGATACTGACACTGTCATATGTACAGTATCAGGCATGATTTCAATAAATATATTGGATTAAGTAATGCCAATTAAATGGTTTAATTTTCATCCTTTTTTTAATTGAATGACATGTCGTGAATCACGATTTCAGCATAAATGTTTATCACCATGAATGTCTGTCTTATCACCATAAATGCTACATATGATCTCAGGCGTGTTGTTAGCTCTAAAACAAAACTGCTAGCAATAATTCAATGAAATGGTACCTTTTTTTCCCTCGAAGGTAAATGCTGAAGGGTTTGGGTATATAATACCGGATTCGGTCTAGCATCAAATTTGAGCATCAGTTCAGCGACGTTTATTTGTTATCCAGCAGAATCAATACAAGTATACAATGTACATATGACTCTGTATCAAAGACAGTCATTTAAAGCAGCATGCCTCCAGATAAGCCAAAGTATTTTTATAAAATCAAACTTGAGAAAGATGTACTAAGATTTTTGAAAAAGAAAAAAGGGAATTCAAGATATAATTTACATGTTAAGTGGAATTAATATTTGATATTCAATGTCCCAATAATCTGTTTTATGTCTCAATATCGCATTTCGGCGATAATTTTCACTTTACAGTCTCATGTAATGTAAAACATTTACAGTCTAAATACGGCAACGGTTATTATGCCTTTCCTTAAAAAAAGGCTGCATTATTTCAGGCAGAAACGGGCACCGGAGTAGAACCACCGACGTTCCGTAAGCTAGGTGATGGATAGCTCCCTCACATGAATGAATCCAAAGTCCCAGTCAGGATTCGAACACGCAAATGTGAGGAGCTAGCAAGTAAGAACCCAAGAAGTCAACGACCTAGTCACTCGGCCACGGACGCCACTCTAAAAATAGAGGGAAATTAACAACTGTTACATTTCGTTCAAAAAAGTATGATCGGAGACAAATTGATTTTTTTTATATTTTCATTCAAATAAGCAAGGAAATAGAGAGACATTGTGAACAATTTTAGTAGAAGCATAAAAAATGAGACACAAACATTACATAAAAAAACCTTTCATGAGGTAATACGAATGTTTATATCAAAAACACTTAATACGTAATATATTAAGTAAACAACGTAAGTTATAAATTTATAAAATTGTAATGCATGTGAAATTCAAGTTATAATTCAAGTAAAGGTCATTTAATACATTGTATACATAAAACATTTATTTACAATGCATTGCATATAGAAATGAAAAACATTCATTGGAAGATGAGCATATTTTCCGCTTTTACCTGTATTTTTTAACTGCCGAACAATAAATAAATTAAATAAATGTACTGACAAAGACTTTGGATACCTTACATAGATCTTAACACAACTGTTTTACTCGTACATTACAGTCACGTAAATTGAAACCGCAATCCACAACTAGCGGCAAATTCCAAATAATGTTTATCAAATTCCTCGTAAACCAATTTTTCCAATCGCCAACTTTTTCTGAAATATGAAAACCATTAAAGTGACATTATGCTCATTTTTTCTTTGTAAAGATGAGCTGAACTGACTATATATTTCATAGGATTGACTACTAGTTTACAAATGGTGATTGATCAACTGTTGATTAGAAAATGATGACAAATAAAATATAAATAATTTGAACGTAACATGTATTAATCCTGATGAATATTTGTAGAATATTTGTAGAAATTTCCTTGGGCCATGTGAGTTATTTTTCGTCCATGCAAATTACATTATAGAATTAAAAGGAATTATGTCAAAACGTAAACTTTGTTTGATTTTTACCTTTTCACTCATTATATTTCTCTTGGATTGGCATAATATCACATTAAGCAAATCATTGCGAATATAACGAAAAGAAATAAATAGTATCCAAAGATATTAATGTATTTGAAGGAAATCTCTATATACTTCCTTGTTACATACACTTGTTTTTCGAACAGTAAGCTATATTCATTTCAAATCATTGAAAAATAAATAAACATGCACATAGAAAAGAATATCATTAGGCCTAAATATTTGATATTTTTTAAAAATTCGGTACAATATGTTATCCCCGTTATATATTTCTCTACGAACGTTGTCCGGGTGCATTTTATCTTTATAAATTCTGTTTGTTTCAACATTTGTTTATATTTAAACATTATATGAAAATTTCGGCGTGCGCCGATGTTGCGTTGCCATGGTTATTAAAGTGCACATAACTCGTAAAAGAAATAAAAGTTAACAATAAAAGTAAATCTACTTTTAGAAATAAAGACACTCTTTCGATTCATATCCAATAAGAGTGTTTTTATGAACCAAGTAAAAAATGACAGCAAAAATCCACGAACTTTTTGAACATACCTCGTACATATTATGAAACTGACATTTCTCAGAAATAGCCTGCACAAGTTCTTCACTTGGGTCGAGCCCCTAAAATTTCGCCAATCGTTTTATTTCTTCCACGTTGTTCTGCAAAAAAAAAAATAAATAATATACCAATTGTCGGGATATCAAATTAAAATTAGTCAGAAAGTGTAACCTTGCCTGGTTTATACTGGTGGTAAAGGTTAATCACCTGGCATATACTGGTGGCAAATGTAAATCACCTGGCTAATACTGGTGGTAAAGGTTAATCACATGGCTTATACTGGTGGCAAAGGCTAATCACCTGGCATAAACTGGTGGCAAAGGATAATCACCTGGCTTATACTGATGGCAAAGGCTAATCACCTGGCTTATACTGGTGGCAAATGTTAATCACCTGGCTTATACTGGTGGCAAAGGCTAATCACCTGGCATATACTGGTGGTAAAGGCTAGTCACCTGGCTTATACTGGTGGCAAATGATAATCACATGGCTTATACTGGTGGCAAATGATAATCACCTGGCTTATACTGGTGGCAAAGGCTAGTCACCTGGCATATACTGGTGGCAAAGGCTAGTCACCTGGCATATACTGGTGGCAAAGGTTTATCACCTGGCTTATACTGGTGGCAAAGGCTAGTCACCTGGCTTATACTGGTGGCAAATGTTAATCACCTGGCTTATACTGGTGGCAAAGGCTAATCACCTGGCATATACTGGTGGCAAAGGCTAGTCACCTGGCTTATACTGGTGGCAAATGATAATCACATGGCTTATACTGGTGGCAAATGATAATCACATGGCTTATACTGGTGGCAAATGATAATCACCTGGCTTATACTGGTGGCAAATGATAATCACATGGCTTATACTGGTGGCAAATGATAATCACTTGGCTTATACTGGTGGCAAAGGCTAATCACCTGGCTTATACTGGTGGCAAATGATAATCACCTGGCTTATACTGGTGGCAAATGATAATCACATGGCTTATACTGGTGGCAAAGGCTAATCACCTGCTATATACTGGTGGCAAAGGCTAGTCACCTGGCTTATACTGGTGGCAAATGATAATCACATGGCTTATACTGGTGGCAAATGCTATAGTCACCTGGCTTATACTGGTGGTAAAGGCTAGTCACCTGGCTTATACTGGTGGCAAATGATAATCACATGGCTTATACTGGTGGAAAATGATGATCACATGGCTTACACTGGTGGCAAATGCTAGTCACCTGGCTTATACTGGTGGCAAATGATAGTCACCTGGCTTATACTGGTGGAAAATGATAACCACATGGCTTATACTGGTGGCAAATGATAATCACATGGCTTATCCTGGTGGCAAATGATAATCACATGTCTTATACTGGTGGTAAAGGCTAGTCACCTGGCTTATACTAGTGGCAAATGATAATCACATGGCTTATACTGGTGGAAAATGATGATCACATGGCTTACACTGGTGGCAAATGCTAGTCACCTGGCTTATACTGGTGGCAAATGATAGTCACCTGGCTTATACTGGTGGTATAAATGATAACCACCTGGCTTGTACTGGTGGCAAATGATAATCACTTGGCTTATACTGGTGACAAATGCTAATTACCTGGCTAATATACTGGTGGCAAATGATAATCACTTGGCTTTTTTGTTCGTTTTTATTCTCAGAACTATCAATATATTTTTCTCAGAAACAAATGTATCTGTTCACAAAGATGCTTATGTCATGGACTTTAGCTATGTGGAATCTTTCAGAAACACTTCTGTTATGTGCGAAAAGCAATATACATGTATGGCCTTGTCTGTCTAACATGAATAGACCGTGCTATTCAGCAAGGGGAAATACCACCTGCCAATATAGGCCCCGCAAATGGACGTTTGTAATTAATGATCATTAACAAAAGAATGTTTAATCTACAATCTGTTTTAATGAATCTTATCGTGTTTATCGTATATATAACTTAAACATTATTCTAATGTTCATAGTGCCTTTGTGTATATTTAAATAGGGACAGTAAATATTACTCAACAATACGTCCCCGGACATAAACGTACTACTAATCTGGGATGTACTATAACGTATCGTATGTTCCAGTACTAATGTATATTCATCTTGGATAACTAAGTTAGATTAATTATGTCCATATTAACAAGAACCTATACATTTATGTAAACACATTGTTCTTTATTGAATGTTCTATAATTATATTAACTAACTTTTCAACTGACAAATGGCGGGAATGTTCCGTGAAATTTTAGATTTCTAGTCGTTATAGTTTTATTCTTAACCGGCACCTGTAATATTAGTCCGCAGACCGAATCACAATTTGTTGACATTTTGCGAGATAGAGATTAGCACATGCTTTTAAATCTGTTTGTATTTGATTAATGTCTCCACTTTCTTCAATGTATATACAATTACTGATTCAAATTGTGTTTGATATTTGTCAGACATAGAAATGTTTGTCAATATATTTGTTTAGAACTATTTCTATCAGCTGTTTACGTCACAAATCTCGGATGCATTTTTAAAGGTTGTTGTTAGGTCAATGTTTTGACGGGAAGAAAATGACTTTGTCTATATTTGATACTTATTTAACGTATTACTATTGAACATTTCACGATGGGCAACTGTTTAAAAGCGCAAAGTAACGATGATATTTCACTTTTACGAGGCAGTGAAGGCCATGATAGTGTCGAACAGGCTCTAGGACCCCCACCTCCATATCAGGCATGTTCACCGTTTTGTTTATTTTTGTTTCACTTCACTGGTTCTCCGTATCTTTTCTTAAATGCATGTTTTTAACTTTGCATACTGATGAAATACAAATTAAATAAATATTTTTGGTTAGGTTACCATTACTGTCACCATAACATTGAATACAAATTATAACAAGGGATGTCATCTTTGTTTACTGTGTCCTTTGTTCTCAATAAACAGCTGTTCAAAGACATGAAGAGATGAGTCAGAGTTTATTTTAGCTTACACATGATGATGATATTTTACAAATGATACATTTCTTATACTTTTTAAATAAATAAGTTCTTAAAAGATTATAACCAACATTAGTCAAAATATATTGACATGCATGATGCCAAACTTATATTCTGAGATATATATGCATGTTAGATATATTGTTCTGGGTCAGAATCTTGCTTGAAGGGATATTGCCCATACTCAAAATAGCACAATATCTCATCCAAAGAAAAATTAGTTGGACTAAACAAAAATATGTTTTTAGTTAAATAATATTTGCCTCTTAAAAAATACTTTGGTCATTCCCTGAATTTGTAAGCCAAAAAGTTCCAAAATTTGGAGGTCAGAAACTGCAAAATCTCTGATATAATTATTGCCGCAATTTGGAAGACACATTTTATAGGTACAGAAGAAAAGTCTTGAAAGGCATTACATTTTAGATGTTGCAAGCCATGATCAAGGAGTAATTAAGTCACTAAATGACTTCCAAACTTCTACTAACAGAAGCCCTGGCTATTTTCAGTTTTTCCTATGGGTTGCTGTTTTAGTTTCATGGAATAAGATCATTTAGATCTTGAAACAAAAGACTTATATGTATATGATTGGTAATGTGCATATATTAGTAACTTTAAATGAAATCCTAATGTAATGACACAGAGTGCACAAATCACCAAAAAAATATCTTTTAAATTTGTTGAAATCTAGAACATCCTTTTTCTGCACTGAAATGAGGAAGTCATTAAATTAATTGCGATTGTTATTGATATTGCACAAAATTGATTGTGATTGGTGAAAGCCTGTGTCCTGTTGGTTGGTTATGCATTTGGTTATTTTCATAAAATTTCAACACCTGCTTATTATCACATGTAATTTCATGTTTAAGGAAGCAAAGGATAAAACTTGATTACCAACCAACCATGGTATCTTTTGTTTTATAAAGATTACATAACATGTAATCAGCAGTATCCTTAAAGCCAGCATGTTTATTTTAAGATGGATTTGTTATATAGATACAACAAGACATTGTGTATTTAAATTTGTATCAATACTTTGTTGATAAAATATTTATCTGATTTATAAGCAAGTTTTCATTGTTTATTGTTTACTATAACTGACTTAACCATGTCAAATGGTTTAATGCATTAATTATTTAGGTCAATATTGATAATATAAAATGGTTTTTAGCTGGATGTATAAGATCATATCTATTATCTATTCTCTTCTATCCTTCTCGTAAATATTTCTCGCAGTAGATGTAATCTTTTGTTTGAATCATTCAGTAACAGGATATGTCATAATTGGCAATTTGTTATAAATGAGCCATGTCATGACAAAACCAACATAATGGGTTTGCGACCAGCATGGATCCAGACCAGCCTGCACATCCGCGCAGTCTGATCAGGATCCATGCTGTTCGCTATCAGTTTCTCTACTTGTAATAGAGTTGGTAAGCGAACAGCATGGATCCTGATCAGACTGCGTAGGTTGGTCTGGATCCATGCTGGTCGCAAATGCACTATGTTGGTTTTGTCGTGACGCGGCTCAAATGTTAAATAAAGAAAGTTCAAATTATTTTCATGGAGACAATTGAAGTTGTTTTATTTTATAAGTTTGAAGTATTTTCTACAGCTTTCTTTTCTTCTTGTACACTGGACTCGTTACCTAATATAAATGATCTTCTCTTTTAAAGCTATATGAAGATATATTATACAGAATTTATCATCAGTAAAATAATATTGTTTCCATATTAAATCTTATTCCTATGGTTGATTCTCAAAAGAGTTACAACAAACATGTAGAATCTGCCTTTTTTCCAGAGAGGTTGTTTATATTTCCAGTAGATGATTAATTAAGTATTTGAAGATACATGTTATTGTACATGTATTACTTTTCTAGAGTTAAGCTGTATTTCATTTTATTTCACACCATATGAAATGTAAACAAACCATCTATCAGCATTAGCACTATGATTGTGAGCTCCCAATACAAATCATTATTTGATCAAGTTTTATCAGTTAATTCTTGTTTTCATTTCAGAGTCCAAAGATCCATAACAAATCTGTATTGTACTACATCTAGCCACATTTTTATTTTCCAAGTCCCAATTATCCATATCATATAAATATTGTACTGGAAGTGACAAATTGCTGTCAAAAATAAAAATGTTATATACTATTGAGTACAATAATGTCAATATTGATTCTATTGAACCTCGATAGCTGCAAAACTGGTATTTTATTAAGACACTAGCCAAGTCTATTAATATAGGTTTGGCAACAGGCTCATGCCTCATCCAATATAGTTTTCACCGTTTGACAGCTGAGTATTTGTCAAATTAAATTCAGTATTGTACACAATGTTTAATAGTAACTTTATAATAGTTAAAGTGTTTAGTTATCAAAATTTAGTTTTATTTTGAACATTTCTATTTCTATTATCTGAAAAAAATATTCAAAGGATATGTAATAAAAGATGCTAATGATGATGTCATACTTTCTATTTAAAGGTTGATTTCAGGGATCTATGTTCTAGGCTTTACTAGAATTTGCTGGCAGACAAATAAATTACTTTTATTTTGTCACTTTCCTAGAAAAAAGTATACAATGTAGGCCGTGAAAGCTATTTCTCATGACTATCTTTTTATATGATTTCAATAGCTCTAAGTGTTATTGATATTATGGAACAAAGAAGTAAAATTTATGGCATAACTCTTTTTATTTCACTATACTGTATACAGTGAAATTCACATTAAAAAATTATAACAAAATGTATAAGAACAGGACAATGCAGATATTTACCACATTTTTTGAATGGACAATCATAAAATTTTTTGGCATTTAAAAAACACTCCCTGTGATAATTATACGGGCAAATTGAAATACTTTAATTAATAAATAACGTTTTTTAAGTATAAAAGTTAAAAAAAAGTAGATGTATTACATTTTCAAAATAATTGTCAATGATTTATAATCATGATATTATACAATGCAGGTACAATTGTCATAATGAGCTGTTTAACACAACAGATGACTTAATATGCCAGTTATGTAATGTTATCCCTTAATATTATGCTGAATTTGTGTTGTATGGCAGGGCTTTCTCTCTCTATGTTATGAGGGAACAGAACCTGTATGAGGGAGAATTAAATCTTGTAGCAGCTGGCGGGAATTTCAGGCACATCTTGCAATACATACATGCAATAGTGTTGAATAACACTCATGTTGTTAAAGACACATTGTGCCTCAGAAACAAATAATTTTTACTTCTTTAGAAAGGACAAAGATTAGTTTTATAATGACTAAATGATGGTTTTAGAGAAATGTTAGATGCTTAGTGTTACAAGAAAAAAGTACTAGCAATAAATGTCAAATAATTTGTTATAAAAGTAGCAAAATGTAAACAAAGTAGTATTTTGACATCCATACAAAATACTTATTCACTCAAACTGAACTTACTGCCAAAAAGCAACAGATGAAAAAGATGGTTCTGGTAATTGGCCAATTAATGTATAACTTTTTGTATACTGTAAATGTACACAAAACATAAAAAGCTTTTAAGGAATAGAAATAAAAGTATTTCTGAGTCACATTATAGGTCTTTAATTAATTAAAAACATATATTATTTTGCAAAAAGAAAATTTCAGTAGATTATTGTGAAATGTTGCTTTCTTTTGGGAAGATATAGACTGGTAAATTTAGAAGAACAAAATTTTTGGGGTAGAAAATATGGGGAAAATACATATTTTTTTTTTTTGGGGGGGGGGGGATAATTTAGCACTAATTCTTGGATTGAAAGCTTTTGTGTATTGTCCCAGATTTGACTTTGGAGCAGGTTATACAAAGTAAAAGGTACATGTATATCAATATCAAAATTTAATACAGAAATTGAGCTACCAGCAGTATAGAGACCTGCATGGTCAAATTGCACAGATTTACAGACTGGCCTGGCTCTATACTGGTGACAAAGGCCAATGACTACAGTTTAAGCAGGTTTCGGAGATAAGGTTTGAATTATAATGAATATATATTTGTACAGTGTAATTATGATATGCAAAATGTCCAGATGAAAAAGAACAAGCAAAATTAAAAAAACATGTATACAAAAAAAATCCAAATAATTACATGTATGATAAAAAGAGATTTCTAACTAAGGGAAGTAATTAGGCATTTTTCCTCGGCATTTCATCTATGTAAGTCTGATATTCTAATAATGATAATACAATGCAAGAATAGACTAACTCCAGAATTAACAATATTTTGGTTTTTCCAAGCTTAGATCTGTAGGTACAAACAAACTATTACTGTTACAGCTTCGAAAATGACTAATCTAATTTGTGACGGGTTGTGCAGGTGAAGCTATAACCGTAAAAGTTTGTACCTAAGGATTAGCTGGGAAAAAAACCACATTTGCTGAGTTTCAGATAACATCTATTAAAGTGCAAAACATGACAAAAATTCAATATTTAAATGTTCTATAAGGAAGTATATGAATATCATTTTACCTAAAAGTAGCTTCTTCTAAAGTACATAATGTAACGAAAGTACAAAATATGAATTGATCATTATTACAACCTATCTTCATACTTGCTTTTAAAACAGCATGCTTCCAGATTTGTGCTAATTGTCATGAAAAGTTTAAAAAAAAATTAAAATGAAATATTGTGCAGTGAACAAAGAAAATAATTGACACATTGCAAACAGCACATATGCAATCAACAAAAATGTGTTTAGTAACGTTTTGATAATATATAGATCAAGAGTATGTTATATAAAATATGAGGGGGGGGAGGGGGCTTTTTAGGCTTTCAATCGCACATTACATGTAAATTATTGCTTGAATCTTGAAACTTTTACTTTTTATGCCCCCGCCATGTAATGGCCGGGGCATATAGTGTTACCCTGTTCCGTCCTTCCGTCATTCCGTCCTTCCGTCATTCTGTCATTCCGTCATCATCAGTTTCCGTTCATTATCTTAGTAACGGTTGCACACATTCAACTCAAATTTGACATATGGATATGTCGTGAGAAAATACAGGTCAAGTTCGAATTTGGTCATGGTTTGATGATTTTTGGCAGAGTTATGCCCCTTTTACTTTAAAATAATATGAAATTTTCAGTTTCCGTTCATTATCTCCCCAATGGTACAACACATTCAACTCAAACTTGACATATGGATATGTCATGAGAAAATACAGGTCAAGTTCGAATTTGGTCATGGTTCGATGATTTTTGGCAGAGTTATGCCCCTTTTACTTTGAAAATAATATGAAATTTTCAGTTTCCGTTCATTATCTCCCCAACAGTACAACACATTCAACTCAAATTTGACATATGGATATGTCGTGAGAAAATACAGGTCAAGTTCGAATTTGGTCATGGTTCAATGATTTTTGGCAGAGTTATGCCCCTTTCACTTTGGAAATAATATGAAATTTTCAGTTTCCGGTCATTATCTCCCCAATGGTACAACACTTTTAACTCAAACTTGACATATGGATACGTCACAGGAATGCGCAGGTCAAGTTCAAAGTTGGTTATGGTTCAATGATTTTTGGCAGGGTTATGCCCCTTTCACTTTGAAAATAATATGAAATTTTCAGTTTCTGTTTATTATCTCCCCAATGGTACAACACATTCAACTCAAATTTGACATATGGATATTTTTGGAATGCCCAGGCCAAGTTTGAATTTGGTCATGGTTCAATGATTTTTGGCAGAGTAATGCCCCTTTCACTTTGAAAATATTATGAAATTTACAGTTTCTGTTCATTATCTACCCAACTACTCAAATTTGACATATGGATATGTCAAAGGAATGGGCAGGTCAAGTTTGAATTTGGTCATGGTTCGATGACTTTTTGGCAGAGTTATGTCCCTTTCACTTTGAAAATAATATAGATACATCTTAGGAATAAGCAGTTTAAGTTGGAATTTGGTCGTGGTTCAATGATTTTGGACAAACTTATCTTTCTTGAATGTTGTAAAAATTTTGAACTTTCAGTTTCAGCACTGAAATGTATGTAGCCATTATTTTGGCTACAAATATGAAATATGCTATTTTCAAAAGGTTTAGACTGAATAATTTCAGTGCCTTGAACATTGTATGAAAATGGTTTGTGTTAACATTGAAAAGTTTTAAGGGCTTTGAACTTAAAATGAAAAAAATTATTTGTGCAAACAAATTTGGAACTAAATATTATAACATCTGAAATTTTGGCTGCATGCGGGGGCATCCGTGGCATGATGACACATTTCTAGTCTTAAAGTTTTAGTACATTTTACTCAAGTTTTATTTTGTTGACATATTTTGGCATGCAGCTCTAAGAGAGTTCAGTTTTGAGAAGGGAGGGAATCATTAGTCTTAAGTGACATGTGTTCCAATTTGAAGTGGTCTTTCAGTCTAGGACAGACTACCTACAACCTAAGTTTATGTTTGTGAAACAAATCTAGTGAATCGTTTTGTAATGAAATCTGAATCAGTATTTTGTACTTTAAGTTTATTGATGTATTTGAAACATCAGTTATTTGTGTTGTGGGTGTAGTCTCTATTTTAGATGTAATCAAGCATTTAATGTAGCTAAAGTTTACATTTGAAGAAGTAATGTGACCAGCTTTCATTACATAATGTATAGAATTTACGAGGCAGTGTTACAATATTGTATAAAAAAAAATCATGTGTATATTTGTCAGATCTTGGGTTAGGTCTTTCTTTAAACTACATGTAATGATGTATTCCTTATAATACACCCTTTTGGTCTGATCGAGTGATTCTTTCTTTGTGAGTAAGCTATCCAGCTAGCTTACGGAATGTCGGTGGTTCTACTCAGGTACCTGTTCGTGCCTGAAACCACCAGTTAAGCTGGGACGTCGCAATATGACCTATACTGTGTCAATGTGACGTAAAACTCAAAACAAAAACAAAAAATCTTTGCAAAAACTTTTCATGACCTAAGTGGTCTCTTTGCAAAAACTTTTCATGACCTAAGTGGTCTATTTGCATAAACTTTTCATGGCCTATAAGGCTATATGGATAACATTTTATGGCCTACATTTATGTGTTTAAACTTTTATGGTCTATTTGCATAAAACTTTTCATAGCCTATGTGTATAAACTATTCATGGCCTTATTGCATATATGAATAAACTTTTCATGGCCTATTTGTTTAAACTCATACTCTTCATGGCCTATTTATTTAAAATGTTCATGCTTTTTATGGCCTATTTGTTTAAATTTTTCTTTTATGCTTTGTCTTTAAATCTTTTTCTAGACTGTTGGGAAAAAAATGGGAAAAAAAGTCATGGCCTTTATCTATAAACATTTAATGACTTTCCTTTTGCTCAATGTCAACTATTCTTATCTCATGTGTTTTAATCTATCATGGGTAGTGTTCATGAACTGGTCTTGTGCTATGTCTAAAAGTCATAATTTATTTATTCTTAGATTCACTATCTTTATGCCAATATGTCTATATTTAACTCCAATGCCAAATAATTTATTGATATTTGTAGAGGTCTTTAATGTGAAAGGGCATTATTTATCTCTGTAAGCAAGTATTAATGTTGAATATAATATGTATTGATTGATGCATGCAAATGTTGATTGTTGTTTATGGTGTGATCAATATCTCTTAAAGCAATGCCAAATGTGTAGTGTCTTGTTTATGGAAGGCTTTATAAATTCATGAATGGCCCAATTATAGGACATTCTTACATTTTTGTATCTTAACTTAGCACTTGTATTAACTGGCTAAAGTGGCTTTTGTTTCTGTATTTTTGTGTTTATTTTAGAAATCATTAATTTTGGTATATATCCTCAGTCAAACCTGTGGTAAACGACCACCTCTAATCAAATACCTTGCATTTTAAAAATGGCTTGTTTTTTGGTTTTTTTTCGCATTTGGCTTTTTTATATGCTTGTCCTTTTTCCACTTTAAAAGACTGGACCTAGCTGACAGGTCTGCATAATTATGTAAATATTAATATTTATGACAATGTTTAGCTTAGCAAATTAGCAAAACATAAATATGCCAAGTACTTCATTTGTAAACATGTACATGTATTAGTCACTGTTATAATAATCGTCAGTTTTAGCTCTTTGATTAAGATATACATGTATTATTTGTTATTAAGATTGTTGACAGGTTATATGGCCCTATATAAATGGTTGTTAATATAACCCTAGCCACCAGGCAAGGGTAATATTGCAAACAACCATTTATATATGGCCATATAACCTGTCAGAAATATTTCTAACGAATTTATAATACAGCAAGCATCATTTTTAGAGAAATAAAGTGAGATTTCTTTATAAATGGACAGCAGCTGTGTATATTAACTATATAAACTTCACGATTATCTAACGAAAAGCGATGTTACAAATGTGCAGTATTATATAAAAAACTATATAAATGTCACAATTATCTGATGAAAAGTGACATTATAAACATGCAGTATAATAAAAACTGAAATAAATATAATTATATTCACACAAAAAAAAGGAGAAGGTATAAACTTAAAAAAGATCTATAATTTAACTGTTCAAGTGTTTGTGTACCTTCAGGAGCATCCACAGCAGAGGATGCCTATCTATCATCCTTCACCAAATGTAAGTAGAACTGCCAGCCAGCTGACTGAGGATGAACAAGTGAAAATTGCCAAGAGGCTTGGGCTTATCAGTCATCTGCCCACTGGTATATATGATGGCTCTTCAAAGAAAGGAAAAGAGTGAGTATGATGTTATCAATATAAGAGCATTATGTGTACCACTGAAATCTAGCCAGGCCAGCGTTCACATACATACAGTCTGATCATGGATGATTTTAATCATCACCATGGTAACCTTATAGTCAAAGTAAACATGGACCGAACAATCTGTGTTTTGACAAAAATGATATCATAAGGTAACTGATATCTGACCAGTCTTTGATAGCCATTTCTCTGGTTTTAATATAGAAGTCACATGAAAGTTAAAGTATGATTTTCATTGTTATAGATTTAGCTTGTTTCAGGTTTTGTAAACTATATTACTGCATTTGAAGTTTTCGAATGCATTTCTAATAGTTTTAGTACTCAGATTAACCATAAGAAAGTTTGTGATTGAAAACGTCTAAATTTCAATACTTTTAGTTACTTTGCTCTATTATTTAGAGATTCAGTCTTCAAGATTGTTTTCAAGTAAAATGGAAAGGGTATGCTAGGCAAGTTTCAATTTAAAATATTAGAACATTTATTTACGCACAAAGCACATGTAGGATGTCTGTGGCCTTTAAACCACTTGCCCCTCAATGCTGTGGATTTGAAGCCTGACTGGGACTATCCAGCTAGCTTACAGAGCATTGTTTGTTCTACTTACATGCACATTAAAAATTTTATGCTTGAAATAATGCATGCAGGGGCACCTAAGGTTGTCCTCCACCAGTAAAGCTGGAAAGTCGCCATACATGTATGACCTATTCTATATTGGTGCGATGTAAAATACAACAACAAAAAAATGCACATATGAAAATGATTCTGATCTTTACTAGTATTTCAGTAATTTTTATCTTGCAAACTCACCATAGCACATCATGCTAGAGTTTAACTGTTGTGATCAGTGTCTGTCTGTCTGTCTAAATGTCTGTCTGCACTGTCATATAACAACACTTCTTAAACAACATTTGCATATAAGACTTTTGTAAAGTTTGCAAGTCAGTTAAAGAAAATTCTATAACAAAAATGTTTATATATTTACAGGTGTGTTATATGCATGGGTGATTTTAGTGTGGGAGAACAATTGCGTATATTACCATGTATGCATTCATACCACAAAGACTGTATAGATGACTGGTTAATGAGGTCATTCACATGCCCATCATGTATGGAACCAGTGGATGCGGCCCTGTTAACAACGTATGAAACCAGCTAGTGATACAGTGTGTTCAATGTGATGAAACGTTTATAATATATTGTTACAATAAACCAGTGGATAAGAGTTGGGCAACAGTTACATATTTGGATATCGAGGAAAAATGAACAAAATGTTTCCTATTATGTGAAATACGTTACCAGTGAAACAGTCTCATTATCTGTGCTTTATAGTCAACCATCATTACTGTGTATATATATCTATATATATACATGTTTATATAATGGATGGCCATTATGATCCAGATTACAGAAATGGAAAAACGAAACAGATTCTGCAGTGTCCAAAGTAAATTGTAATTTGTTAATTTCAAATTAACAGTTTGCTCCAATCTTATAATCCATTGTGGAACAGGTTGTGAATTTGTGATAGATAAAAACATGGTAAGCTGTCCAAGGATTGTTTTGAGAAGCCAAAATACTTTTTGCTAAATTATTTAAAAAAAAATGGAAACATATTTTTCAAAGAACACAGATTTACAAATGTAGAAAAATTGTGAATTTTTGCCTTCAGTTGACCTTCAATACCAGCTTACTGTATTATATAGTTCAATATATCAAAAGCTTGATGCAGCCTGCCTTTATCTCCTTTAAATCATTCAAGTTATTACAAACATTTAGCGCAAAAAAGTTATGACATTTATTCCTCATTACTAACATGCATGTAACATATCAGTATGACATTCAGAAGGTCATTTTGGAATGATTTCAATATTCTGTTACAAAGTATGCAAGCTGTAATAAGAATACTTAAATTTTGATAAAAACCTGACTTAAAGAATCCATATATATTTTCATTAGGTTTATAATGGTATTGCAATTTATTGTTAATTTATTGTTATTAAATATTGATATTTTGTATTTCAATAGGATTTGCATAAAACATGCTTAGTTACTTGTTTCAATTTTGCTATAACCTGATATTGCAGCAAAGATTTTGCAAGTTAAATTATTTTACATAGTATGCATTTGGTAAATTTTTGTTTGATAAAACGTGTAATCTCAAATGTTTTCTTTTCTGCACAATCATATTTATTATGAATAGTGTAAAACCTTGTTAGAAAAAACCAAAGTGTGAAATGATTTAGTGAAGAATGGGTTTTGAAAGTATTTTCATTAATGAGTGCATTTAACATTTACAATGTAATCTTTTTGTTTTGTTAGTGTGAAGTATACAGTCACCATTAATCAACTTAAGGATCCGATATCATTGTTATTGGACTCCTGTGACAATTTTTTTATCACCATTGGCAGAAAAAAATTGTTATTGCACACTGTGCGGTGAAGATTGCATTTATTCTCACTGATCAATATCATTGTTATTGAACAGTGAAGTATGCATTATTTATTACTGGCCAATAATTGTATTATAAAATAGTGGAGCAAAATAGATCGCCAACCAATATTGTTGTTACTAAACAGAGAATAAAACATCATTTTCTATTGCTCAATATTAACGGAAGTGTACAATTTAGAAAACATTTCTTTACTTCTAATCAGTATAAATTTTGAAATAGACATATGAATATTGGACTATTTTTAGCTCGACTATTCGATAAGAATAAGTAGAGCTATTGCAGTCACCCGAGCGTCGGCGTCGGCGTCGGCGTAACCACTTATGTTAAAGTTTTTGTAATAGTTCAAATATTTTCAAAGTCCATTGACATATGGCTTTGAAACTTTGCACACTTGTTCACCATCATGACCCCAACCTGTAGACAGGAGGAGGTAACTCTATCAAGCATTTTGACAGAATTATGGCCCTTTTTCGACTTAGAATTTACGTTAAAGTTTTTGTAATAGTTTAAATATTTTCAAAGTCCATTGACATATGGCTTTGAAACTTTGCACACTTGTTCACCATCATGACCCCAACCTGTAGACAGGAGGAGGTAACTCTATCAAGCATTTTGACAGAATTATGCCCCTTTTTCGACTTAGAATTTACGTTAAAGTTTTTGTAATAGTTCAAATATTTTCAAAGTCCATTGACATATGGCTTTGAAACTTTGCACACTTGTTCACCATCATGACCCCAACCTGTAGACAGGAGGAGGTAACTCTATCAAGTATTTCGACAGAATTATGCCCCTTTTTCGACTTAGAATTTACGTTAAAGTTTTTGTAATAGTTCAAATATTTTCAAAGTTCATTGACATATGGCTTTGAAACTTTGCACACTTGTTCACTATCATGACCCCAACCTGTAGACAGGAGGAGGTAACTCTATCAAGCATTTTGACAGAATTATGCCCCTTTTTCGACTTAGAATTTACGTTAAAGTTTTTGTAATAGTTCAAATATTTTCAAAGTCCATAGACATATGGCTTTGAAACTTTGCACACTTGTTCAACATCATGACCCCAACCTGTAGACAGCAGGAGGTAACTCTATTAAGCATTTTGACAGAATTATGCCCCTTTTTCGACTTAGAATTTACGTTAAAGTTTTTGTAATAGTTCAAATATTTTCAAAGTCCATTGACATATGGCTTTGAAACTTTGCACGCTTGTTCAACATCATGACCCCAACCTGTAAACAGGAGGAGGTAACTCTATCAAGCATTTTGACAGAATTATGGCCCTTTTTCGACTTAGAATTTACGTTAAAGTTTTTGTAATAGTTCAAATATTTTCAAAGTCCATTGACATATGGCTTTGAAACTTTGCACACTTGTTCACCATCATGACCCCAACCTGTAAACAGGAGGAGGTAACTGTATCAGGCATTTTTTTTACTATCAAGCACTAAGAATAGTCGAGCATGCTGTCCTACCGACAGCTCTTGTTAACAAACCAGTAATAGTGTTCTAGAATAGTGAAAAATACTTGTATTATTATTGGTCAATGTTATTGTTAAAGAAAGTGAAGAATAAGTTATTTTTTACTGGTAATAAATAATAGTGTTACAAAATAGTGAAGAATTGAATGTGGAGCCAATATCAGTGTTATTGAACATGAAGATTTTTATTCACTTGCCAATATTATCTTAAAGGAATGAAAAATATGCTTTATCATTGGCCAATATGATTTTTATTGGGCAGTGAAAAATGCATTTTTCATGTTGAAGTAGGCATTTTCATTGGCCATTAGCTTTGTTAATGAACAGTGAAGATGTCCACACAAGCGTGTGTAGTGTCTTTAGTAACATCTACCGTTATATTTTTGCAGTTTTGTTTATTATAACAAGATTTGAAAGGTTTGTAAAGTCATTGATACACACACACACACCTGTGTTTATGTAACAAATAGAGTTATAAAATGTCTCTGGTTTATAAGTTTATTCCAAAAGTTTACAAAATAAGAGGGGAAAAAACGGTTTCAGAAAAAAATAGCATTTTTTTAAGAGTTTTTGAATATGGTATCAAGGTGGACTGGGCTAGACTAGTAAAAGATTTTTAAAACAAATGAGTGAATGTTTAGACAAGAAGAAACACTAAATTTATGTGTGTTGTGTCTTTGATTGATTTTAATATTTGCAGTGTCTTAATATTAACAACACTTCATGGATATGTGATATATATGATTATATTTAAACTCTGATAAGTTTATGATGATAGTTATACATGCAGTTTTATGTATCTTGTATTTTTTCCACAGAATGAGTGTCAATTAATTCAACGAGGGTATTATAACTTATACTAGTAGGTGATCTCCACAAGTTTAGTATGATAGAATGCATTGTGTATAAATGATTGTAACATGTTACATGTAACATACATATCTAAGTTGAAGAAAATTTCAAGATTTGGAAACCCTATTCCTGCTAACATGAATTTGATGTTGAAAAATATATTTTCATTGTTTATTTTATATTCTTTCTTATAAAAAGTTTGTCAGTGTGTGCACCTGTGCACAAAATGATATACAAAGGGGTCCTGGGTTTTATTTTTTTAAAATGAATGTAAAATATGCACACACTGTTCTTGTGTTTCAAAAAAAAGGTAGAACTGAAAAAGCTATTTTTTTACTGTTTCAAATGTTATATACATGTACTTGCAATTTTAGATTAATATTAAGAGAAACTTTATACATTTGGAAAATCTTATTCAGCATACAAATGTACCATGTAGTTTCCTTATGATTCACTCTGAATGGAGGGTGAGTAATGCTGGCAAAACAAATCTATTGAATTGTGTTTCATAAGATTAGTTTTTCAAAATTACTCAGTTTTTCTTTTTTTTCACTTTTCGTTTCCATTTATTGTGCATAAGGAAGTTATTTGTATGGTTAGAGTTGGTATTTAATTGTTATAAATTTTAGATTTTCACAAGGCAGGGGGCAAGTAGTTACATTCTATTTTTAGAAATCACATTGTCAGAAAGAGGCTGAATAAGAAGACAAATGTACTTATTTATCTAAATGTACTTTTGTATTGATAATTGAGAATTGCATAGTGATTTTTATTATAAAATCACTAAATGGCTCTTTGTTTATAGAAAACTACATAAAAGTATTAATCTTCAATATTTAATTTTGGTGGTGTTTTTTTTCTTCTACAATTTTAATGAAAAAAACATGTTAATGAAACATCATTCTGAGATAAACATGGGGGCAGGGGCAGGGTTTCCAAATCACATGAAATATCATACCACTTTTATAATTTTATATCTACCTGTAATGTGGATTTGTGGTGTGAACCAGTAGTGTAGTGTTGATATGTTGTGATCTATGTACAGTGTAGATTATAAGAATCTTACACCGGTTGCCGGTACAGACTGGAGTATCTAGCGCGAGGGTAACTGTTTATGGCAGTAACGAGGCTCTGTCTGAGTTACCGCAAAACAGTTACCCGATAGCTGGACATTTATGTCTGCAACAACAGCCGGTGTTTGATTCTTTTTCTTGCATTTTACATTAAATGTGTTTAGGAATGAATTGCAAAAACTAATATTTTCATTCAGCACTTATTTTTTATAGAAGCGTATAAATTTACAGCTTCATTATGGCATCATCCTAAGAACGCATTTCATTCATGAAAGACAAATGTGAATGAGGTCATTTATAACACTCGACTTATCTTACATGGAGGGTTAAGACAGGTTTTTTTAGCACCGGTGTAAACAATAGATAATCCTGTCTGATATGTAAGAAATATACTTATTGTAGTAACATAATTATGTTCATGATATTAAACACTATAATGATTAAATGAAGTAAGCACATGTAAAATCATCTGATTTTATTATGTGGTAGTGAATTTCCTGAGATTGTTATTGAAGTATATCACTAGTGGATATTGCATGAATTATTCAGTCAGTCTGAAGTCAGAAATATAACTTTTGATTTAGCTAATAAAAAATTAAAGAAAAGTTATGCACTCCTGTCTGACCCTACATAGACATCAACATTGATTGTTTTTCAATTAGATAAGGCTAATGAAATAAAAATTTCAAACATGTCGTCTTGGCCATAATTCTAATCAAGACCCATAAGTGTATTATGGATTTTTACAGAAGAGTATTCCTATCTGTGAACTTCCTGCAGAACATTTATTTTGCTGTTCATTGCATTTATTTATCATAATTTTTCATGAAAAATCACACTTTCATTCACTGAATTTAGACTCAAGACAAAATGTTAAAGCTGCACACCTCCAGATTTCATGAAAATTTTGAAAATGTATTTTAAATATGGTGATAAATACTTCGAAATCTTAAATTAACCACACATATCATGTATTACTTAAGCTATGGATCTTTCCTAAGATTTGAATACATTTTTCTCAAGTGTGTTTTTCATTGAATATTTTCGCACATCTAGAGGCGTGCAGCTTTAATTCTTTTGATACAGTGTATAAAATAACAGGGATTTGCCACAAGTACTAAGCACTAGGTCTGTACTGACCTACACTTCTGGCTGCTTTAATTTTATAATTTTTATATTTTACTCCATTAAATAGTTAAATTTCCTTAATTTAGCAGGATAAATGTTAAAATGTAGGTTATGGAGAAAGACAAAGTTATTTTATACTATTGTTTAAGCCGTATTCATTTTGTGGATATATTTATCTTACTAAATAATAATAATAATAATTTTATTAGGTAAAAGTGTACATGACATGGCAATGACATAATGATGCATAATGATACAATACATATAACAATAATCAAAATATTAAAGAGACTAGAAATATCACATGATATAAGTATACGACAAAATATAAATATATGAGCCATGTAGTGCCCACCAATACCAGGGATAACACAAAAAAGAGGAAAGGATTCCTCTTAAAAACCATTCTAAAATTATAAAACTTTATGTAAAGGTGATTTTTTTTTTCAATTGAATTGTTTTAATATCCGTTTCAAAGTGCCTGTTAAACTTACGTAGAAATGAGCTAAAATAATTGGCCTCATTGTGATTTTCAAGATCTCCAATTAGATTTGAATATGAATATAATTGTCTTAATCATCCACTCCTTTTCTGAAGTTTTTCTAGTCAAATTTCAAAGTTAAAGCTTCCTCTATTAGTTTGCAACTTAACATTCAAACGTTTGAAATACTTTTATAAGTCGTTATTTTTTGACAGGCTTCC